GTCCAAGCCAGCGCTCAACAAGTGACATGATTTTTATTTGTTTGTTCTTCTTTTTAAAAGGGCGCTTTGTCTCCGGGCTTTCCATGAAATGAATATATTATATTATTAACTGTCATTGACCATATTTAGCTGGCTGCAATTTGGTGGCCCTGTTGCCACGCATCCAACTCCCAATCTTGAATGACTATTTCACAGTTCCCAGGGCGGTTGGCGAACCCCCCGTTTCAACATCGGTTGCTGACATCATCTCCTCTTGGCCCCACGCTCCTATTGGTTTCCTTTTGGGGCTGGACGCTTTTTTGCCACCTGAAGCCTGAAGCGGGAAGAAAGCAGTTTGGCCACACTGCTGATAAAGGGGGCAAAGAAAAAAACCTGGGCGGAGTGGCAATGGCCTCCGCAAAGCTCAGAGCGAAACAAGAAGCGCCCGGATCACCCGGTGTGGGGTGTGGGGGGGGGATTTCATCGAAGTACCAAACTCGAAACTACTCAGCAGGCAAGCCTCGGGCTGAAAGCAGCACCAAACCTGGTTCATCTCTCGTGAAAGGGGCCGCCGTAGCTTGGCAACTCGGCGAGTTCTTTGCAAGAGGCGGAAACAGAAGAATGGGCCATGGACCAAAAAAGGGCCGCAAAGATGCGGCCCTGCACCTTTCTGAACCGGAGGTGCAGCTTGCTCCTTTGCATAATTATGCCCCTGCTATGGCGTCCGAACATCGGGCCTTCATCGCCGCCATGGCCTTCATCGCCTTCATCGCCTTCATGGCCTTCATGGACTTCATGGCCTGCCAACTTTCAGGGCCGGGCTGGGCAGCTCCAAAGTCACATCCGGTCTCTTGGACCAAGGGCAAATGTAACTTGTAAGGATTCAACAGCCGCTAAACAAGTCAAGAAACCCACAGGGATATGACCCTCCCACTGCTCTCTCCCCGGTTTGTTAGCACCGGCATTGATCAAATGAGCACGCCATGAAGGCATATGTCTCAGGCTGCCAAACGGACTCTGTGGTGAGTGCCCTAGGGAAATGAAAGCAAACACAGAGCTCAAGTTCCTGGACTTCAGTGAGCCCACGGGGTTCGACAATGTAGGGCAATCAATCGCAATTCCGTGTTGCCAGGCACTTGCCGCTTGACCCCGTGAGAAGAGGGAAGCTGCTTCCAAGGATGAACCAATGGGGGGTTGGGCATCTTTGTTTTGGAGGTTGCTCCCCAACAAATGGCCGTTTCTCGATGTGCGGCAAAGCCTGGTACCCAGTAGTCCTCCTGATCATACCGCCTCCAAACAGTTCTGGCAAACATGGACACCTTGCAAATCGATATGCGTTCCCTTACCCAAAAGGCGACATGTGCTTTTGGGGCTTAAGGAAAACCACCAGGGAACCGGCGATTTTAAGCCGCTGGCGCGGACCCGGCTCGCCCTTCCGACTCGCAGACCCCGGAGACTGATTCCCCTGGCCTTCATGGGCGCCATGGCTGTCGGCTTTCGAAGGTTCGCAGGGAGCTTGAGCCAAACCAAACTCAGCGCCGAGTTTTAGAACGCTGTCAACCAGTTTGGGGCCGTTGGTGTCCTTGGGTCCCGAGTCCTGAGTTTCCAGGATCGACAGACTAGGACCAAATCCACCACTCAAACCTTCAGCAAACGTCGGCAAACCTAGCAACTTGCACGACCCATTCTCAGCTTTCTGCGTCGTCCGGCGTCACAACGCAAAGAGCGGGCTGGATCGACCACCTGGTTGATGTCATTGCCCACAAAAAACAAGCAATATCGCGCAACGTTGCATCTGGCTGCTGCAAAGTTGGCAACAATGGCGCAGTCACCAGCCGAAAGCTGCTGTTTATCTGTGGACACTCTGCAAGCTTCCGCTGCCCTGTTCACGTCTTTGAGGAGAAATTCCGCGGAGCATAACAATTTGTCTTGGGAAAGTGAGGTTTCATCGCTGTTTGCGGTTGCGCTGCGTCTGTCGATGAGATTGACCTCAAAAAAAGCGTCAGGCACCCTGCGCAAAAAAGCAAAGACGCGGCTTGATCTCGCACTCTTCTGGTGCAAGCGCGGTGCGACAAAATTGCCACGCATCTGAATGAGGCACGCAAATTCATCTCCAATGAGCCCTTTGTGCTGCTGTGGCGAACAACGGCTTGCAGCAACTCCAAAGCAATTGCTGAAAACCGCACGTTCATCCTATTTTCAGGACCGTCCACTCGTGGACCGTCTTAGCACATCTAGTCGCCTTCAGCACCCTCTTACTGCAGCCTCTCAGGGTTGGTAAAGGATGGCGCCCTTTTGACTCTGCTTGCCTCAACGAGCTTGTGGACCGACGTCGTGGCGTCACAGGCACGCAAGAGCATCCGCTGAAACGTTTAGCCCTAAGGCAACGGCTCCCCCGCAATCTAAAGGATCTGTCGAGGTCGGAGTGACTCGATTGTGCTAATGGACAAATAAACGTTACCAGCAGAAACCAGAGCTGGGGTTGCCTCGAATGGTTGAAGAGAAACAAAAAAAGATAACCACCATTTGTTAGTGTCCCCCTATTTCGACACGCCGCATCCATGTATAACTTGTTCTCCACTCTGCCCACTGTTTGGCTGGGAAGCCGAGAGTTCTGCCGCACAGCCTCATCATGGCGCAGCTCCTTACATCAAGGGGAGGGTCTGGGTGCTGGTCATAAGGGCGCTGCTTGGCGCTCAAGGTGCTACTTGGTCTGAAGGGGCGGTGCTTGTTTTGCGATACAGCGGTAAGCAGTCTGGGTGCTGTTGCTTGCGTGGCGATCCTGGTCAAGGTGCCGTGCTGGGCTCTGGTCAAGAAGCTACGTGTTGGGTGTAGAACGCCGCCTGTGCTTATGGTTAGCGCGTCATTGTTCGTGGCTGTGCTATCATCATGATGCTGTCAAGATCATCATGGTGCTATTGAACTTATTAAGATGCTGTTTGTGCTTGTGTGTAGTGCGTAATGGCTTGCGGCCGTTGCTGTTTGTGCTTATATAGAGCGCATGATGCATCACGATATATGTATCGCATCATGGTTTGTGGCTGTGGTATCGTGGCTGTGGTATCGTGGCTGTGGTATCATCGTGATGATGCCAAGTTCATTAGGACGTTGGCATCACGATGCTGCGAATTCATTCAGACGCTGTCTCTGCTTATATGCAGCCCATAAGGGTTTGCGGCTGATGCTGCTAAATTCATTGTAGTGCAGGCTGTTTGTGCCCATTTGTAGCGCACAATGGTTCGTGGCTGAGGTATCATCATGATGCTACCGAATTCATTCAAACACTGTGTGTGTGTGTGCATATATGTAGCGCAAAGGTTCGTAGCCACGGTATCATCATGATGCCTGTTTGTGCTGATAATTATATATAGAGCATAGTGGTTCGTTGTTGCAGTGAAATCGCGCTTCCTGACTGGCGGAGTTGGTTCGCCGCAGACAAAAAAATGAGCCGTTCCGGTCAAAGTGCGTATGAGTCAAACTAAAACACTAGGGGACCGCAGGTTTTAGGCCTTGGTTCCATTTACCTGGGCCCCATTTTGGGCACCCCACGTGTTGACTACTGCCAAAGGAGACCATCCGAAGTCAATAGGCCTCGAATGTGATGGCTCCCCTTTGGAATACAGCGGCCCGTCAGCGGAATCAACGAGCCTATAAAACGCTCGAGCCTTCCCTCTGAGCGATACCTGCGAATCGCAACTCGCACACTCGGCCTTTTCTTCTCTTAATCAAGCGCAACCGCCACTTTAACCTTTCAAAAAGCCCGCGGGGTGACTCGCAGCTGATTTCTTGGGAGTCTCTCTTGGCCAGCTGCGAGTCCTTTTGCAGGTGTGGGTGAAAGCTCTTGCCTCGCTCTCTTTGTTTGCATACGGCTTTGAAGCCAGAGAGTGCATGTGCCCAGGTCATATCTGCTATTCAGAACAATGCTCATTCATGCATGTGCAAGCCAGCTCTATTCAAATTTTCGCCGGCAAAAGGCTTGTAGGCACCCCTCAGGCATTGACCAAATTGAGCACGCGCTCAAGCATCCTGGCCAGCAAGCAACATCGCAAAAGCTTTGGGCTTTGTGCGTCCGGCAAACTCTCGCAACGGCTCATCAAAAGGCTATCGTGCTAGTTGCGTTGATGAAATTAGTGAAGCTAGCTGGCAAACCTGTGCAAAGTCGGTGGCAATGCTGACCAACTGGTTTCTTTGAGGGGTTTACTGGGGCCGTACCTGTAATGAATGTCTTGCAGCCCTGATAGTTCTAAATTGGAGGTTGAGGTGAGCGAATCCGATCTGATCCGGGGAGTCGAGCGCGTAACAGCGACGCGCAATGCGAAACTGGCACGATGGCAAAAGAGCCTCGCCCAACAAAACAGGGCGTGGCTGTTGCGCAACAGCTCTTCAGCCACACAAACGCATGCACCAACACAAACCAACCGAGGCCCAAACCCAGATCCAAACACAAACATGCGCGCACACGCAGCCACAAGCACAAAAACACGCAACACACACACAAACAAACTCACATGCACAATAACATACATCAAACGTAACGAGGCAAATTTGAACAGGCAAACACACTGTTCCTGACGTCCCATTCTGAAATCTACACGCGCCCGCCCGCCGCTCATCGCTCGTTTCTGATGAACTCTCTTCCATCCACGCCTCATGTCGGGAGAGCTCTTCGTTCCAGAAGCATAAGTCTGCAGCAACTTCTGCCTTGCAAGCCGAGAAACCGATCGCATCGCTTGCGCCCCTTGCCATTTGTTCAACCGTAGAAACAAGTCATGCGGGTATGTGTCAAACAGCGGGACCCAAAATGGGCATGCCAAGAACGCTGCATAGCTTTTGATTCAAGGACACAGCTCTGAACCTGTACACTGTTGAGACGGCATGCTTTGGACACTAAACCCCTCTAACCCGCCATACACTATGCGACAGTTGTGTGTAAGATGATGGACATTTCCTCGGAGAAGGGTAATATCGTACACCCATCTGGAACGAAAGATACCACGAGGCTCTCGAGGCTGAACATTGCACCAACAGGGTAATACACAACATTCATATTCTGCCTTGTGATGGAACCACGCAGGAACACAGTGCTAAATAGTAAAACCCGTTCGGGTGCTCAACCACGTTCCAATCACTGATGGTGTCTGTAACCAACATTTATAGTAGCACATCCAACCTGCAAGCACTAATCACACTGGTGTTTGGATGTGGAGGATTGCTGGAGCCGCCAAAATCCCAAACTCTGCAGTGGCCTGCCTCATCGCCGGCGCAACCTGCCACTCATCCTGAAACCTGAGGAAGGGAGATGTATGGAGCTCAAATCATGGACGCGCAACGACCAAACTAACTGATCTCACTGACAAAAGATGCTCAAACTGTTTGACACTGTTGCTGAAACGAGGGGGAACCCTGGTCCACTTAGCGGGAGGAGCAGCAGGAGGAGCAGCAGGAGGAGCAGCAGGAGGAGCAGCAGGAGGAGCAGCAGGAGGAGCAGCAGGAGGAGCAGCAGGAGGAGCAGCAGCAGGAGCAGCAGGAGGAGCAGCAGGAGGAGCAGCAGGAGGAGCAGCAGGAGCGGGCTTTGAGAAGGGAGTCCCCAATATCAACTTCATCATGGGCCTTCCAATTGGGAATGTGTCAGAACGAATCCTTGCACATGGCAACAATTTCATCTTGGCAATATTTGCATGTACACTGCATTCAGTGGTCCTAGTTGGGAGATGTTTGGACCAAGACGGTACCAAGATCAATCGATTCGTCGGTGAGGCTTCAGCCAACGCCTGTCATGTTGCAACCAACGTTTCAACAACCTGTTGGACTCCCCCAACGACAGCCCAATGTGCCGTGGTCAAAACTCCATACCATTCACTTCCCTGAACTAACATCCTTGCCGTGGTTCTGTATAATTTCGATTTCCCCAGAGGTTGATGACGGCCATCCCACCCAACCCCAAGCAAATTGTTTTCCCATGGCGTTGTTTGGCCCACATCTGGCATGCTCCAGCTTTTTTTGATTGCTTCTTTCAGATTTCGTCTACCCGAAAATACAAAGCCATTCTTGGAGGGCAGCATCCACTCGGTCCTTCGGTAAGGTCCCCGGTAAGGCCCCAACTCCACGCCAGCGGAGAGGCCGAAGGCGGCCAAAACTTCGAGCCTGCGCGACCGCGGAGAAGCTCAGCCTTGAACAAAAGCCAACGCTAACCAAGCATCCAGCCAAACAACCAAAACACCAAAACAACCATAACAAGCAACAGGCAGGCAGGCAGGCAGGCAGGCAGGCAGGCAGGCAGGCAGGCAGGCAGGCAGGCAGGCAGGCAGGCAAGCAAGCAAGCAAGCAAGCAAGCAAGCAAGCAAGCAAGCAAGCAAGCAAGCAAGCAAACAAAACACAATCCACTCAAATGGTTGAATGCTTGGCGGGCTTCTAAAATGGCTTTACAGGAATTTTCGATGCGCCCCATTTCTGGCAAAAAGCCACGACATGTGGCCATAAACACCGCCACCTTCGGCTGTTCCTGGGCTGTTCCTCGCTGACATCATACAAGCGACTGATTGGAGTTCGTGCACGCCCCCCACCCACATCCACCCACATGATGTCACCGACCTGCCTTACATATGTGACTGCCCAGAAAACGTGGCTGTAAAACACGAGCATTGTCTTTGTAAGCTCTTCCAAGGATAAGCTTAGAGCTTTCAGGCACAAAAGTCATGCTATTATCTTCCCTGACTGTAATATGAGACCCACACAAATGCTTTCCTGCTGGAGTTGTCATTTCAAGAGGCTCCCAACCACTTTGCGGAAACGAAAAGAACACTGATACTTCGGGGCGGGGGTACACTTAAATCAACCTTGGAAAATTACATGCATCGCCGGTCCGCATCAGATCCCTTGGCCAACCCTTCCATCCTGTTCCCCACAACGAGGGGATCAAAGGACGCTTCTCTTTGGCCCAGGGCCGTTTCAGGAAACAGCCAACCAACAAAAACACAAAGCACTGGGCAGGGCGCCTGGTCTCTGCTGGCCCTTGCCAGCCCGACTCGCCAACCCAAAAAACATCCCCCCTCTTCAAGCGCTGTCTGGTAGTTCTTTGCCCTGCAACAACACCTGCTTCGGTATTTGTTGCATTTGAATACAACTACAACACATGTTTTCTTGCACAAATCAAACGAGCCGTTTTGGGCTGCTCATCTCCACAACATGATGGAATAGCCACCACTCTTCCAAAGCAGTCATCTTCGCAGGCTTCGAAAAGCACCGCATCTCCGGCCAAATATCAATGGCTGTGAGTCAAAACCAATGGTACCATTTTGGGATAGGTGACCACTCATTTTAGTCAATTTTGGTGGAGATTGGGATGTTCACTGGGGGTACGGGCTGTTGACCCATGGCCAAATGACTCTCCCTCAAGGGCACCAACCCAGATGCGAAGGATGCGCCTTCTCATCTGCTCCACGGCGGCTCCGGGATTCTCCTCAAGCGGTACGCGGGCGCGCGAGCACTCATGGGCTGGGTGTCCTGATGGAAAACGATCGG